GCCATAGTGACGCAGGTTGATACTCAGTTCTGACCTCTGTCCCTCTGACTTGGATGATCTAAATTGCGTCGATTGGGGCACAATAATTTACATTTAACCCTATCCGTACGTCGTGTTTTACTATTGTATCCATACGACAAGGGCAACTCTATGCCACCACTTTCCAAATAGGAAATCTACTCGTTGATCCAATCCGGACGCTTTGCATAGCAGTCAGTCAATCTCTGTAATCTGAAAACAAAAATGACTTGAGCTGATCTTTGAAAGAATAAAAACATTTGTGATTGATCTTAAATTACTTGGAAGTGCGTTCCAGATCTTGAAGTCAATGGTTCTGATGATTTGCGTTTGGTTCAGTTTGGTGTTTTAGCCCCCTCTTTCTTTTATATAAAGAGGATTAATCACTACCATTTTGAATTCCATTGCTTGTGCGGATGAGCATGCTCGGCATATTTTAACTATCCGTACGCCCTGGGGTCATTTTGGACCCCCGGGGCTGTATTCTTCACATTTTAGAATACTTCTCGTGCGAAGATCTCTTTGAAACTTTCAGTATTTCTCAAAAAATTATTTTGACTGACTGCTATGCAAAGCGTACGGATTGGATCAACGAGTAGATTTCCTATTTGGAAAGTGGTGGCATAGAGTTGCCCTTGTCGTATGGATACAATAGTAAAACACGACGTACGGATAGGGTTAAATGTAAATTATTGTGCCCCAATCGACGCAATTTAGATCATCCAAGTCAGAGGGACAGAGGTCAGAACTGAGTATCACCCTGCGTCACTATGGCTTATGAATATCCTAGACTGATCCCGATTACGGTCGCTATTTTGCTGTTACAGGATTTATGAATACAATAATTCTCTACTCTTTTATCATAAGTTGATTCCAGTTCGTGACTGTTGTTGTTGGGGTTTTTTTTCGTAACCGAAGGTGACGTATTCCGCTTTTCGTATGCGTGTTTTCTTTTGTTTTTCTTAAAATAAATTTTGCTTATGCTTATTATTTTCCCTGTCCTCAGTCCTCATAATTGAGTTGCTTCCTCGAAGTATGTGAGGTGAAACTGATTTTGTATAACTGCCCCTTTAGCATTGTTGACAAAGATACTCATTTTTTTAAAAATTCGAGTCTGGATCATCCTTATTCTTGTGTCATCATTGTATTAACTTCCCCCCCCCCCCCGATGCCATGCAGCGATGCATCCTGTTATATACACACTGCTATTTTTCTTATATTATTTCGTCCCTTGTAATGTTAGTCATTTTGGATATTTTTGAAGATCGCTTTCAGTGTAATGTGCGGGTGGTTTGAGACTACCATTGGTAGGCCTTACTGTCTCGTACTTCTTTTCGTTCTTTCTGTTGTTTCTGTATGTCTGTTTTGCTTTTCCCCTACTACAAAATGACCGTTATTGTGTCAATATAGCCAATTTATTTCTGCTACTAAAACAAACAAACAAACTCATTGTCGTAACATGTGTGGATAGAAGAAGGAGAGCTGAAAGTGAATGTTTACTTTTGTTTCATTGGTATAGTTTTGCTTTCCTGTTCTCTGCATGAGGAAAATGAGAAGCTGATTGAACACGACCGTTATTATTTATTTTCTCTTATTTTAACAATTTGTACGTTTTCTTATGCATGAAGTAGAATCTGCGCGTAGAATGTGTATATCGCTTTGTTTATTTTAGCAACACAAAATATATTCAATTGGCGCAGCTGATATTGTAGTTTTCGGCAATTAGATCCTTTCTTTCGTGTATTTTGCTTCTTTTTTAATGGTTTGGAATTTTCCTCGTATTTTGTCTACCTTTTCCGAGTAAATTATAACTCTTCGGTTACCATATTTTGAATCTGACTTGGTTTGTGTATATGTGATTTCCGATTTTATTTATTAGTATTTAACTATTTTTTTCTTTGCTTGTGTGAAAGAATGATTAGGCCTACAATACGAAATCTTTTATTTTAACGACATATTAGAAACGCCGTTAAGTATGAGGTGATAGAAAAAAAGAAAGAAAACAACTCTTTAAAAGACGATTTTAGTTCTCCATTTAGAACTTACTTGACCAGTTACTTACTACACGGGTCTCCACTCAAGGTGTGGCTATCTTTGAATAGCTATGGCGTCATGCACGAACGACGCGCTTAACTGATTTTGAGAACGAGGGGTCGAAACTTTTCTATACTCGAAACTTAAGGCTGTGGAGGGTTTCAGTCTGGACCAAAAAATAAATGGTTCGAAACTAGCGAAATTGAGTTCGACCCTGCTCTTTCCAATGTCACCCTAATATAACGTTTCTGCCAACCGATTGTACTGACGTACAGTAAATGTCACCCTTTTTCATCGCAGAAAGACGTGAATCTTAGAATTGAGGAGCTATTTAGTTGAATCCCGCTCTTGGCTACATAGTTTTTTTTTAATGGTTAAAAGTAAATTTCAACACCCGTTCTAAAAATGTTTGTCGCGTCTCTTCAGCATGAGGTAACGGTGGCCCTTTTCGGTCGCATGGAGAGTGGAGACCTCTGAATGTGCCCACTAGGGTACGTTCCTTAATGAGGACTAAAATTTACTTTTTCTGTAAAAAAAAAAAAAAAAATTAATATAGAGGCTCTAGTCTGTAGCTTTAGAGACGTGTCTACATCGTATGTTTAAATTAATATGAACAATACCAGAGGTATTTTAAAACAAGTTAAAAAAAAAAATGAAAGGTCAAAGTGGACATGACAAGATTGTGAACTGAATCAAGAGTCAGTAATTCATATGCCATTAGATCATGGCCGACGTAGAAGCCTAAGACCCTTTTTGCCTTTGCCATTTGCATGATATTCTGTCTGTCTGTCTGTCTGTCTGTCTGTCTGTCTGTCTGTCTGTCTGTCTGTCT